AATGTGGACGAAAAGTTTTTTCGAATTACCCAAGAAACGGCTTGGCAGAGATCGTTGCACAAAACTGACAAACGATAGTCCTCACCGAAATACAATCAAATGGCTTTTAAATTTCTAAAATCGGGTTTCATGCAGGCGTTTTTGAGAAAACGTCGATCAAATCTAATTTTGACAAATGCCAAAAGACCATACTGATTTTTTGCCAACTTTGACTAATTTTTAAGCTGAACCAGTTGTCGTAGGGCCGTAATTTTTAGTATGACCTAGAAAACTATGGTATCTTTCGTCAAAAACTAATCATAAAAATCGTCAAAATTTTTTTTTTAAAAACTTTATTACAAGAAAACGGCACGGCCGATCTTAACCAAAAACTAATCAGCACGATTCCCACCAATATCTATCGAACGGTTTTTGAATTTTCAAATCGATTCAGAATTGCGGGCTAAAACGTGGACGAAAAATTTTTCACTTTTCTGCAATTTACAAAGAAACGGCTTGGCCGATCGCCGCACAAAACCAGAGACGATTGTCCTCATCGAGATACATCAAATGGCTTTTAAATTTTTGAAATCGGTCCAACCGTTTCGGAGAAAACGTCGATTTACGGCAAAAATCTGTTCACACACACACACACACACACATACACACACCACACACACACACACACACACACACACACACCACATACTTTTTCCAAATTTGGTCTCATTCGATTCAGAATGGCTCGAAACGTCGAGAAACATAAAATTAGCGATTCGGATTTTTTGATGAAAACATAAACTTCTCCTTCGGGAAGTTAAAAAACTGTTTTTTTGATCTCACTTCACAAAAAAACCCTAGCATTAAGCGGTTAACTTAACCAAATGCCTCTCCGCGGCCAACTTTTTGTCAAAAAACTTTGTTTTAATATATATTTTTCTAATTGTTATCATTCATAAGCTACTCTTAAAGTCTACAAAGTTAATTAAAAGTATATAGTATATTAACTTTTTATCATTAATATAGTTCACTATATTATCATTGGCCATTATATATTAATTGTAGTCGTCATTGTTGATATATCTATTCTGTTCGCAATTATCTTTGTTAAACTTGTCTTCATTATTTTTGCATCATTTGCCCTTATATTTGCATAAAACAAATAAAAGCTCAGTATCATGAGTCAATAAAAATATTGGAATAGCACATATTTTTTATATTAAAACTAAGTAAATAAATTCAATTTAACTATTAAAAATTTCATGTTATTTATTCGAAACATCAACAGCCAAACATATGACCACTGAGAATCCTTTTTTCTCGAACCATGTTTTCTTATACTTTGAATATTATACTTTTATACTTTTTTCTTTTAGTCTCAAAATCGCTGTATGTAGTTTTATAATGACAGATTGTAATTCGAAATTATTCGAAACAATAATTTTAAACCAGATGGGTAAAACGCAAGGATTAATTCGAAAAACTAACTAATAGACCCATGGTATTTTATCAAGGTTTAAAGGCGCTGCAAAAATAATAAGAAATTGAAAATCACATTCGATGTTTTACATATCTACATATCGAAGTGTATTTATTATAAAATGTTTTCTTTTTGGGACTCAACTTTATAATAAGCAAGTTTTTTTTTAACATTCTTTAATTAAAATCTGTCACACATAGGACATTCAGTAATTGTTTTGACTTCATTATATGGATTTTTAAATGGATGGCAACCCAATAGTTGTCCAATCCAATTCTGACTAATTAACTATACTCGAAGTATTTGACATTCATATGAATTATGTATATGCTACTATACACACGAGAGGCGATTTTAACTTGAGGCTATATTTGAGATCTATAACTTCAAGTGGAAATTAGGGACTAGTTGGTTCTAGCCCACATTCGAACCGATATGGCCACCGCTCTGGCCCTATAATAAGAAAGTATCTGCAGAGGTTGCACTCTCGTTCAAGTAATAACTTCTAAAGCCATCCACAAAAGCGTTATTTTGTTTTGTTTAAAATACAAAATAATAAATTTGAAAACAAATATCAAGTTAACGGAATCAATACACAATTTCATTGTTCTAACCGTAATTTTTTTTTACAAAAAATATCGCTGAGTAAGCTGAAATAATAAATTCTTTATGAAATATCTGTTAATTTGATGTGCATTAGCCTAATAATCATTTATTTTTTAAAACTTTTCTTATTGTATCTCCGAAACACCTGGACTTGCCTTTACAAAAATTTTACCATTTCTTTATTCCGTCAATGCAAGTGAAATTTTTAATCAAATAATTCAAATTTTGAGAATCTTTGTGTGACATAGTGCTGTACGGGTCCGTGATTACTATGCAACATCTGAATGAATCCGTTTCAAGGTTCGTGTCATCGCTTCGTTTAGTACTGTAATTCAGTATCGCATCGAAACGACGACGTCAGACCATAATAACTCCAAAATAATTATTTCTGATTCAAAACCTCCGACGGACGATAATTGTTGGGAGGCGCATCATGTCAGGACCGCACTTGCAATTTATATTGAAATTTAGTGTTTTCACATAAACAAGCTTCCGCTGTGCGCTGTCTAACTTTTTTTTCAACTTTTCAATCGTGTAGGCTACTGTATGGCCAGATATGGCAGCCATTTGTAGGAAATAATTTTCCGTTTCGACCAAAAGAGCTGTATTTTCAAATAGAAAAAATTTAGAAAATATTCAGTAGTTTTTTTATATACTTTCAAAAAAAAAGTTATTGGGCGGACCCAAGGACCTTATAATATAATATTATTATAATACCCATGGATAGATTTTTACCATATGGAGGAGCCAATTTTCCGGATAAAATAGTAATGTTACCAGTCTTTTTTGTGGAATAATCGCATAAGTTGGTAGTAGCGAACTGTCAAAAAAAAAGTTTAATCGAGAGATTTATGCCATATCGACTTCTAAAATCTAACTTCCAAATGGCACTAATGTCAGAATATAACTAAATTCGACTTCACGCGTGTGTACCATAATTTTGCAAATTTTGGCGTATTAATGTGACACTACTAAGCGTGATATTTTTATATAGTCATTTTTGGTCCGATTTTTGGCGTGTTAATATTTTAGCACACCCTAGGGTGTGTTACTTCAACCAGGTATTTCTTGTCTAAAACACTTTTAGGGCTGTTCAATAATACATTTTAAAGAAATGAGTGATGAAAAATCCTTTGATATGTTGTCATAATAATACGATTTCTAAAATCCAACTTCCAAATGGCACTATGTTCAGAATATAACTAAATTCGACTTCACGCGTGTGTACCATAATTTTACAAATTTTGGCATATTAATGTGATACTACTAATCGTGATATTTTTATATAGTCATTTTTGGTCCGATTTTTTGCGTGTTAATATTTTAGCACACCCTAGGGTGTGTTACTTCAACCAGGTATTTCTTGTCTAAAACTCTTTTAGGGCTGTTAAATAATATATTTTAAAGAAATGAGTGATGAAAAATCCTTCGATATGTTGTCATAATAATACGACTTCTAAAATCTAACTTTCAAATGGCACTATGGTCAGAATATAACTATATTTGACTTCACGCGTGTGTTACCATAAATTTGCAAATGTTGGCATATTAATGTGACACTACTAAGCGTGATATGTTTATATAGTCATTTTTGATCCGATTTTTGGCGTGTTAATATTACAACACACCGTAGGGTGTGTTACTTCAACCAGATGTTTCTTGTCAAATAACACTTTTAGGGCTGTTAAATAATACATCTCAAAAATAAGTGATTAAAAATCCTATGATGTGTTGTCATAATAACACGCCAAAAGTGGGATCAAAAATGATTACATAGAAATAACACGCTTTGGAATGTCCAATTAACACGCCAACATTTGCAGTGAAGTGACAACAAAAAGTTGAGGTTCTTCTTTATAATTACATTAATTATAACATTAATGTATTTTTTGTAGTATTATTATATTATTTTATTATTTATTATTATTATTAATTACTATTTTATGTTATTATCTTTATTTATTCTTATCTAGTTTATTCTTCTTTAGTTTATATACTTTAGCGGCTCTTAGAATGTAATTACTGTTCTGATTGCTGTATAATAATAAATGGATAAAAAATAAATGAATAAATAAAATTATAACATTGTTATTTGACATCTGTGCCATTTGGAGGTGAGGTTTTAGAAGTCGATATAGTGTAAATCGCTGGATTTAAAAAGATTTTAAAAATGAGTACTAATTTGGATATACTATAACATAACACAACACAACTATTTCATCCGACGAAATAGCCCTCGAACCATTTTTTTTTTCAAATATAAGCTAAAACAATGAAAATAGTCAAATTATTTTTAATGCCAAAAAAATGCCGAATTTTTGTATTCTTCTTTCTATAGACGACAGTAATAGATGCGTTTGCGTTCAAAAATATAATTTATTTTTTGCACCAACAATCAAATAGTATTCTACTATATTTTTTATATATTTTCATATAATAATATTTTTCTTTTCTTTCCCAGGTTACAACAACCACGGCACCGATTCGTCTCCCCCGCCGGCTGGTTCCGGCGACCCTGGCGCGCAGGTGCAACACGGGCCAGGTTCACCCTACCTGCATTTACCCGTTCAACGACGGACGCCCTACCCACTCAAAGAGGGTGAGAGCTTACTGATAAGAATCATAATCATGTTAATAATTATGATGGTACTTCGAAAAGGCGTTAGAAATAAATTAGGTTCTTGAACAATTAGCAACCTAATTGAACAGTCGACCTCTAGAATTTAAAATGTTTTGCCTTTTGGAAATAAGTAAAAACTTTTCTATAACTTAAAAAAGAAATAGCTGAGAAAAGAATTTTTTTAGCTCTTATGTACTCAACAATACTATTTTGAAAACTGGTGATAAGTAATTTTGTTAGTGCCACATTATATTGAAAATAAACTTTTATATGTTTGTATAATACACGGTGTTCCATGGCGTAACGGCTCAACGCACTGCCTTGTGTGGTCCACGCTCTGAACCTGGTATCGTGCAGTATCGATGTCTATTTTCACTTGAAAATATAGATCAAAAGTATATTTCAAATTGAAAATTGCCCGTTTTGGGCACTGCCTTGAGAAGTTGCACATTTTTAAGAGAATTGATGAAGTATTCAGAAATTTCTGACCTCCTAAGAGTCTGACCATTTCTGACTTTTTAAGAGTTGACCTCTAGAATTCAAGATATATTTGGCTTTTGGAAACAAAGAAAATATTCCGGTAATAAATAATTGCTGAAAAAAGTCTTTAAATAATATGCACTGAACAATACCTACTATTTTCAAAACTGCTGAAATGTCGTTTCGGAATCAGAATTTCTAACAAATATATTAATTTTATTAGAAATAATATTTTTTATTTTTATATATGTATTACAAAATACAATATTTAAGTACATCTAGTAGAATCAGGCTTTTGAAAGTTACAACGTTGAAAATGTTAGATAAAATTGTATCACTTTGAGTTTCAAATTAGACCTATGAAGCCGTTAGATTATAGTTTCCCAGATTTTTTGTTTCGAGGACCCATTGGGCTTTGCCAAGGACCCCCTATTTACCTATTAACGATTTTTTTTAAATAAATGTCTAAATGTATGTATGATTCTTTTTGTTGATTTGAATCCTCTGAATGTTGTCACGAATCCGAGGGGTTTATGTGGACCACTTAGGGAATTACTGCATTTGATAGACAAGCATAAAATCAGAAATGATTAGTTGCTATCCAAAAAACAACATTTTGTGCAGTTTTATTGCTAACAATTTTTTATCGCATCTAAAATAAAATTTGCTGACAAATGAGAAATGTATGTGTGGTTCACATAATTTGCTTTAAACCATTTCGAGCTTCAGTGTCCTTTATCTTCCGAATGCGGTTTTAGATAAAAATTACAAAATGTTGCTATGGTGGTCACTATTGTACAGAGCTTTTGTGATTAACTCGAATGTTATCGTTTAGTGTGGGATTTTTTGTGCTGCTTTATCTCTATTCTGTTCTCATATGACTTATTAATATAATCATTTCATAGATATGTTATGCGCCTGTAATGTGAAGATAAAACAAGAATATCATTGTTATTTTTGTAATTTATTTTTGCTCGTAGAGAACGAGTTGATGGGCCTTTTGTCTAAAATATAATATGATTAATTTTATCTAATACTATGATCTACTGTTACTTAGTGTCATTTTTTTCGGAATTCAGCTTTACTGATATTAAAATTAAAAATAATTTAGTTTTTGGCCGATTGTTATAAACATTTTTTTTATATGTTGGAAAATATATTGTATATTCATGGCAAATTTCAGAGGAAAAATGGTATAGTTTTCAAATGATCAAGTTATTTTCGTACTCTGATATTTATATTTATGGCAGAAAAAATCTAATCTATCCGTACGTTTCCACTTTCGTAAAAACGCATTAAAATATGTTATATATTAATAATATTTTTTTTTGTTAATACGATATATTATTATTAACCCTTACTCCTGGGATCTACTGCGCCCCAACGCCTTTAGAGTCAAATTTGATGAAACTCTTTGACTTCATAGTCCTTTTTGTCAAAGAACTTCATATATCTCTAATTTTTATTTAAATTAAAGAATTTTTCACACTCAAAAATGGATCATGTTCGTCCTTAAAAATTAATAAAAAATTAAGCATCCTTTATTGTATTTTTGCAAAAAATACTATATCTGTTTGTTATTTTTGAAGAAGGATAGCTTAGTTTTCGTTAAAATTCACGGAGTTATGTTTTTTTTTTAAAGAAAAATAAAGAGTTTTTATTTAAATTAAAGAATTTTTCACATTAAAAAATGGGTAAAATTAATGCTTTTTTAAAAAGCATGCTTTTTTAAAGCTAATTTTGTATTTTTTGCAAAAAATACTATTTTTTGCTTGTAGTTTTCTCGGGAGGAAAATTTAGTTATCGTTAAAATTTACGGAGTTACATAGTTTTCAAAAAAAAGGACCATTTTTACCAATAGCCCACTACGATCCTTTAAATACCGTTGGGGTCTCCTGGACCCCTTGTGTATGCACCGGTACTGGATTGAGGTGTCTACGAAAAGGGTTAATATTGATAGTAAAGACACAAATATTTATGTTCAAGTTATGTGAAACATTGAAGAGTATTGAATTTTTCATCCAGAGTTACGATAAAATTGAAATTCAAATATTAAAATTAATTTAAAATGTAATGGCTAACGACGATTGATGGTCGGTTATAATTGATTTTTATTATAGGATGTTTTTCGAAATTTTTGCTTTTATAACCTTGTATTTGTTAATTTTGTCTAAATTTTTTAATAATATTAATGATAATATATTTAACATTTTTAAATAAAAAGGGTACACTGTATACCCAACTTTTTATTAACCATTGTTTTAAATTAATATTTATAGAGCTTCCGAATGCGTCCTATGACCGTGACTAACACATCTGGGATACTTATCACAATAAATGAATACATTAAATCTGACACTAAAACAACAAATGCAATTTAAATTTTTGGGAAAAGCCCGCATTTGTGAGTCTTGAGAAACAAGAAAAACTGTGTTTGAATACGCTTGCCAAAGATTTACATATTACATAAAATAACGGATTATGTAGTTCTTTTTTATTCACATGTTCTAATAAATCATGTTTTACGAACTTGGAATATAAAAGTAAATAAAATGCATGCATAATTGGTGTGCTATTTATAAAAATAAATTATTTTGCGGGAAGTTTATTTCGTCTACCTTCTTGTGTTGTCCCAGTTTTGATTCAACAATATTCAATTAGTATTTTCAATACGAAGATGTCCATTTGGTTTATAATAAAAGAAAGACAAGTTTTGCTGGCTTATAAAGCAAAAACTAAAAAACGGCATTTTGGAAGAAAACAATGAGTATACTTAGATATAAGCAGTGGTGTTGTGCTAATATTTTTTTTTGCCGGAACGCTAAAATTTAAAATCCGGTTCATAAACCGGTTCAATAAATTTGATATATTTCGATAAGAACTCACAAATCTAATATATTGACTTCTTATATAATTAACTCTATTATATACAGCTACTCTATAAATTAAATTGTACAAGTATGAGGGAATCATTGAGTACATAATTTATATTCTTTAATAACATTAATTATATTTATTGTGGTATTATTTGTATTCATTAATACTTACAGGTATTTATTATGATATAAAAGTACTCAAGATTTATTCCAATACTTTATAAGACTTAATAATTACTTAACCTAATAATACGATAGATAACCTATTACCTATCATACTATACTATTTTATTGTATATCATAGATAGATATCTATTATCAATCATACCGTGAGATACCTACACCGTCATTATTATAACTTATTATATAACTATTAACTTATTATATACCTACATACTTTTTACTTCTTATAAATATTACTGTTTCATTTATATATTTACCTATATTATATAGGTTTACCTTACGCCCTATGTATTATCTCTACCTATCTATTGTCTATACCGGGAATTGAACCCGGGACTTTCGCGTGGAAGTCGCGCACCTTAACCACTACCCTATCGGGTACCCCCATTGATAATATAATATAGAACGCACTGTTGTTTCCGCGGGTCATTTTCTAATTAATTACGTGATTAATACTAAGGTGGCGCGACGACACGCGAAAAAAGACGATTGATTGTAGCGTTACGGTGGTCTAGTGGATAAGGTTGTCGCGTGTCACGCGGCGGACCCGGGTTCGATTCTCGGTAGGGTTAATAATGTATCGTGTAAGGAAAATTATAGGTAATAGGATATATAGTAGATATAGGTTAGGTGTATTCGGTATACAATGTAGGGATTGAGAATATATGATTAAATATAGCGTATGGTATAGATGTAAGGCGTTTAGTATAGAATGCGACGTATAGGCATACGTAAGGCTATAAAAATACACGAATAGGAACTTATGATGTAGGTGTTAGTGTATAAGAAATGCGAATAAATATAAGATTTAGTTTATAAATACTATTTTTTCTATAAAAAATTTTATCTCGGTATTAAATATCTAAAATATCCGTTAAGGCGTTGATTACACCTTACTGCTGCCTTTGCCGTTATCACTTCATAGAAAATTAATTACTGCACTTTTAAACGATTGTGTGCACTGTGCGACAATAGACATAGAACTATAAATTTTATTAAATGTTTGAGTAACTTGTGCGAGCTCATTTTCTTAAGATGTTCTTAGTCTCGCAACTTACTGAATTCTAAAGATTCTAAATTTAAAAATATAATATAAAAATTATTATACCGCTGTCTGGAAGGGATAGCAATTTATAAATATACAGACTAATACATACAGAATTTGGAATTTTTCTATAATACGTAATATTGAGAAAGTTTGCATTAGACCTAAAAAGGGATGCTTATTTACCTAAGCTATGGAAATATATATGGAAAAAATAAATGATTTGCACATGTATCCTGTGCTCACTTAAACTAAACAATGATCATAATATATTTAACGAAGTTTTAACAGTATTTACAATTTACATTCAAATCGCCCAAAGCAAGTGGGTTAATTTCGTGTAATTTTTTAATTTGCCTCCCTCCTTTGAATTTAAGAATGGATTTTTCGGTGAGGCGTGTGCCCCACGTTGGGAATTACTAGTCTAGGAGTACAATTTTTTAATCTACTACCAGGTTAATCAATAATTGAGTGATCATCAATTCCACAGCACCTTCATCAGATTTTTAAAAGATCAAAGTTTCTATGAATATGCATACAAATCTCAAATTGTAGGCCGAAATTTAGACAATAAGTCTATTGAAATATCAGGGTAACTCTTTTGCTATAAATTGTCAACTAATTTACCAATAAATAAATGTCAATAAAACAATGATTAAAAAAATTACCAATAAATGTTGGATTGTAAAAATTTACAAGCGATCGAACGGCTTATATTTTTGCCTTAGATGGCAAAAAATTCATCCAATTATTAAAATATTAAATTTTTTTGCAGTTCTTATGCTTTTGTATTTATAGAATTGCTTTTTTCGCTACAATCAATTTCCATTATATGAATGTCTTAAATTATTTATTTTATTCGACTAACGCCCGCTATGTCCGAAACAAGTCCAACTTATATCCGAAATATTAGGGCGTCAGACACTTTTCGGTCTTAAAGTAACATATGTGAATTTGAAATACACTACTGTATTGTAATTAATATTTCAGTTCATACACCTCAATTTGTAACTAAATTAAAAACGACTTTGATAAAACCAGTGGTGTTGTGCTAATATTTTTTGTCGGAACGCTAAAATTTATAACTGGTTCATAAACCGGTTCTCATGTTTTTTCCGGTTCCGTTCGAAAAGGAGAGAAACAAAAATTATTACAAAACCCATTGTGTGCACATACATGTATGTTTATTACAATAATAAGAACATTTAATAAAAATTAGTTGAATAATAATTTATACAATTTACTTATTAAATCATTTTCCGTATGTAGCGATTTTTTTATATTTTTTCTTGCCGGAACGCGTTTCTTGCCAAAAATGATTTGCCGAAACGACGTTCCGGCGCGTTCCGGCTCGACAACACCACTGGATATAAGACTTGGCTAGTAATATTTTTACTAATATGTAATAATCGATTTACATTATTTTTTCATTGACAGAAGCAGCCGCATACGGTCTTCGTACCACCGACGACATATGTTCTGCTGTAACCGGCTCATCGCCTTATCATCAGCAGCAATTGACGTCGCATTATGGCGGTAACAATAACAAAGAGCAATTACCTCCAGCTGGTCTTCCTACAGCAACCGATACAACAGGGTACAGATATCAAGTGACAAATCAACAGCAGCAGCAAGATGCTGCCGGATCGCCAGAGTTTTATCCGGTTATGCAGGACCATAAGATGGCTCCAGCAGCACATTATCAAAAAGGGTCGTGTTACGGACGTGGTGAGTAATCTATAAAACCTACTCAATATTCTCTGATTATTAAAGTCATAAAAAGTTGATATTGATAAATTCATCTACTTTCTGATTTCAAGTATTTAGCAGTTTACACCTCTTTACTTGAGGCAGTATTCTGGTCTAGAGGCATGTTTATGCGTTTGTGATAGGCCGTAAAAAGAGCAAACAATATTTTTACTATTTTTTTTACAAGTTATCAAATAAAGTTTTAATGCTAGAAGTTGTGAAAGTGGGGGCTCTGAAAAAAATGGCTCCTGATCATACCCATGATTTTAGTCATCCAAAACTTTCAAAAAAAAAATTAATCTATTATAACATTGCGATCGTATTTTAGCAAAGTAATTTATTGAAATAACTACGGACAAGTAAAATAAAAAATATAATAATAATTATATTATTTTATTAAATCGAATCTTTTAAAAATAGTAAAAATCAGATGGGCATAAGCATAGCTCATACTGAAGAAGAAGACTCTAAGTAAATCGGTCTAGTAGAAGTAGAGAAATCATGAGTATCTTGTCGAAAAAGACAGTTTCAAGAAAAATGCGTTTAAAATTTCGTGGCGGAAGGAAACAGAGAAGGGTTTATCGTGATCAAACATCCTATATCTCCGAAAATAATTTAAATTTTGAAAATTCCCTTTTTACACATAAATTGAATAGTTAAACTTCGTAAATAAAACAAAATAAAGATGACAAAATCCATTTTTTTTAAATTCTAGGCTAGAATACTCCCTTAAGTTACTATAAAGATAAGCCTCAGGTGTAATTTTAGTGTAAATGATCTTTTTTTCTAGTGCGAGATATTTCACGCGTGTGAAAAATATTATATAACATTAAATTAATTATGTACTGTTGTTATGTAATTATTACTGTTAAAACAATTTAATAGTACATTGGACATCAACGAAGTTCTAGTAAATTCTGCCGTCTGAAAGATGATATTTTTTGTCATTAGCTGAAATGTTTCCCTGATTGTAGTTAACTCTTTCTATTATTAACCTTCCGTAGGGTAGTTATAGTAATGGGCCGAGAATCGAAAATAATTTTTTTTTGCATTTCTCGACGTTTTGAAGGTTTCTGAACATTTTGGCATACCTCAGAAAAAATGGATGTGTGTGCGTGTATGTATGTATGGATACACTTTTTCGTTCACGTTTGCGGACGCACGGATCAACTGATTTGACTGGTTCAAAAAACATTCGATTCCTATTGATAGGGAGATGTGCTGATTAGTTTTTGGCAAAGGCAGGTCCAGCAGTTACAGAGATAAAAAGCAAAGAGTGTAGAAAATAGAAATCGAGTTTTTGAGAGGACCGAGTATCCGATTTGAATGATCTAAAGAACATTCAATTATGATTGGGAGAAGTCGTTGTTAGTTTTTGGCAAGGGCTGGCCCAGCCATTTCGAATATACAGAGCTAAATGCGCAAAAAATGGCAGTTTTTGAGAGAAAGAGAAAGCGTCAGATTTGAATGATTCAAAGAACTTTCTGCTTGTTTCAACAAAATAATTGATTTAAGAAAAAAAATGTTTGTTTCAAATTTTTTTTTAGAAGAATTTTTTTTGTATATCGAAAATATTTCAGATTTTATTTTTAATTCTGACTAAAGTTCTAATAAACTTTAAACAAATAATTTCAACTTTGCAATTCAGTTTATATAATTTTAATTATATGATTCTTATAAATATTAGACAATGTTACAATATTTATAACAATCTATTTGAAAACATTCAATATTTCTCGAACATTTCGTTACGGTACGGGAGTAGTTCCAGCAATTTGCATTAAGGCACGATGCCATACACCACACTAGTTTTTTATATATTTTTCAATTCTAATATAAAAATAAACTAAGAAATACACTTTATCATATGTTACCAGGCAAAAAATCTTTGATTTTAGATTCTGGCATCGTTGATTGGCATGTATTGTCAAACGGAGCAAATACTTGTTTACTACATTTGAAATATGAAACTATATTTGAAATACATAATTGATAAGCTTTAATTAATTTAATTCTCTTTTATTATATTTTTTAAGTTAAGTATAATACTTCATTGATTTATATTGATCATCTAATAATTTCGGTTGTGAGTTTCGCTTTACTTGAAACCGTTTAGACTTTTTTTTAATTTACTTATAATAAAAATGTATATTATTAATTGTTAGAGCAATTCTCACCTTAATCTTGAAGATTAATTTTTACCTGTATAACATTCTGCACTTAATTAGTACTGTGAAACCTGAATGCTTGTGAAAATTAAACGCTTGGTCAACAAGCCCGGCTAGCTCAGTCGGTAGAGCATGAGACTCTTAATCTCAGGGTCGTGGGTTCGAGCCCCACGTTGGGCGACTATTTTTTTAAATTTTGATATGAATATTTTTTAAAAATATATATAGCTTTTAGTTTTAACATTTATTTTATTATAATATATTAAGAAGTTTTAAATATGCAAACTTATCTTGATGTTATATTATTCCAATTTTATCGCGTAATACAACTTTTTTATCGTTAATGCAAAGTTACTTTATTATTATTAAGTAAATTTTTACCAAAGTTAAATGCAGTAGAGAACTATCGAGACAAACATGTTTAATACGATTTCTCGCATAATACACCACTTTATGCCGATTTTGGTACTTTGCAATTTATTTTAATAGACCTTTTATGTGAAGGAATTCAAAACTTCATTTTATTCAAGGTTCAAAATTATAACTTAAATTCTTAATATATTTTACTGTTTATAGAATAACTTGATTAGCGTAGTGTTAAAGACTAGATAAATTATCCTATGGGATCGTTCAAGTATTACGTAAGCAGATTTATTACAATTATTTACCCCTCCCCCTCCAACCCCCTTGTCAGCAAAAGTAAACAAAGCTTTTACCCCCTACCCCCATGCTTACGTAAACATTTTGCAATGAATGTAAAAAATAAAAATACTACCTATGACGTAATCATCATCCAGACTCTCCTGCCCCCCATGTCAACCCAAAATAAGCAAATCAACAACCCCCCCGCCCCCCTATAGTGCTTACGTAATACTTGAACGGCCTCTATATGTATAATTAGTATATATTAAATATTTCAATGTTAATAGTTAATAATAAAATAAATGATAATAATGCTTATTACTACCTTAATTAACGTCTATTATGTTATTTCCCCAGCTCGGTACAACGACTACTCCGAACCCTACACTCCCTACGACGCAGGGCCTTTCCAAACAGTTCCAAATAGTATACCTTACGACCAGTGGTCCCAGCCAGGTCTAGGGCCTTCCCAGACTCCGCAGCAGGCGCATCAACATACAGATCCACATTCGATGGGACCAAGTGGGCCTTATCATCCACATCACATGTCCAGCACAGGACCACCTCAAAGTCTTTTAGGGCCATCGATGTTGGATAAACAGAATATGATGTCGGGAGCCACCTATGGAAATACAGGACTGTGTTTTACAGGTAAAATATTCAGAATATATAATTTTAGTATTTATATTAATTTCTCCGTAGCCCGACATCAGGCAGCTTTGATGTCAAATTTCCACTTGGGGTTATAGATCACAATATAATTCCAAGTGGAAATCGTCTTTCGTGGACATAGCTTAAAATAGTAAATCGATGGATTGCCTCTCATGAAATAAGTAGTCATAAGTCTTAACCAACAGCTTATAGAACATATAAGAGTTCTGATTGCTGTTCAAATAATTACAAAAAAAAAATTAATTAATTTATTTATTATTATTAATTTAATTTTAGTATTTGTAATATAATTCATTTGTTTTATATTTTTACAATCTGTTATTTATTTATCATCACATATTCACGAAATTTAATTACGAAATGAACATTAATTTTTTTATATTCTTTTTGTTTTTTATTACTATTGGATTATTTTTTTGTAGCTCAGATTAACATATACAAATCCAAGGCTCAATTATTTAATATATACGAGTCTTTATTACTTCCATACGTTTCGACATAAAATTTTATATCATCTTTGGTGGACTACAACCACCATTGAAAGGAAAACACAATAAAAATAGATGAGAAAAAATGGCCATTTTAAAAAAATGAATTTAGAATTATTGTTTAAAATTATTAGTTTTCACAAAGTGAAGAGGTATAATTTCTTTTATTGATACTGCTTTTGTTCAACTGAATCAAAGTATTTAGAAGTACTTTATCTTAAATGTAAGTCTTTTCACAATGTTATATTAAATTAGTTTAAATTACTTTAATGTGTTTTGTTATTTTAGTGTTTAGTTACTTTTATTTTGTTTGCATTTTTTCCTAAAATTTTATAAAATTCTGCAATTTTTGTTTGTATTGCTCTGAAGATTTTATCTAACATATTTCAATATCGAAAATATATATACTCGTATGTGTTGTGTATAAAATATTCAAGTAAAAAGAATAAGATTTCAAAGCATATTTATTTTTCTATACGATTCGACGTATAATTTTGTCATCATCAGTGGATATAAAACAATGTGAAAAACAATTATAACTTTCCGATATGTGTAAATAATCGACTTAATCAATAAAAAATAAATTAATTTATGAGTGGATTTATTACACATAATTGAAAACGAACGAAGAAGTTAACTCGGAGTATTTTCTAAAAGCAAATTTTTAAAAATCAATAATTTTTATAATTGAACCAGTTTCCGTAGGACTTCAATGATTTAATATGTTCATTAAGACCAAGTACTCTATCGTTATACCAAAAGTAAATCGTATATTTTTAATTTTAACAAATGTCAAAAAAACTACTCATTTTCTCTAACTTTGATGAATTTTTAAAATTAAACTACTTGTAAGGCCGTAATATTTCAGTAAGTTCTATAAAACCATGATATATATCATCAAAAAAAGTTCCATAAAAATCGGCTTAAATTTTTTTTTCAACAGTTAATTTCAAGAAAACGGCTCGGTAGATTTTCACCTAAAACCAGGGCCGGATTTAGAAATTTGGCGCCCCGGGGGCACTGACAAAAATGCCGCCCCATCCCTGAAATTTTACGAACTTTCGAAATTTTTTTAAAGTAATCGCGTTGCTTTAGCTGCGAGGGACAAAATATAGAAGCGCGTAAGCGACGCGTCGCAGTCTAACGGATAAACAATCTTACAGAACTTATATAAGTGGAAACAAAATTTATACTTATTATTATAATATCTTTAAAATATCTGATAATTTAATGTGCATATGTCTTATGATCACTTTTGTCCGCCAAATGTTTCTTTTTCAAATTTTTTTATTGGATCATCGAAATCGCTAAACCTGCCCCCCACAAATAAAAGCAGTTATTTATTCTGTAAATTTTTTTGAATGTTATTGGACGCTTTTTTCTCAAAAACTGAATAATCATTTTTGGCATTTTGGCCCGTATCTTCAAAACGGTTGGACCTGCCTTGACCAATAACTAATCAGCACGACTCCTTATCAATAGGAATTGAATTATAAATCGGTTGATCCGTGTTCTCAAAATCGACTTGAATGATTAAAAAATATTAGATTCGTATTGATGGGGAGACGTGCTGATTAGCTTTTGGTACAGGCAAAATGATAATTTAGTTTCGATATTTCTTCTCTGAAACAGCTAAATAATTTTCGAAAAATTTCAAAGTACAAAAAATGTGTTTTAGAAGTCTTTTTTTCATTTTTCAATAAAATTTAAAGTTCTTTATAAAATGTAATTTTCAGTACGGGATGTTTCAATAATTTGTCTTAAGGCACAATGCCATGAGTCACTAGTTTAAATATTTTTTTCGACGCTATAAGCTTGGAAGTGCACAAATATGTCATTTTAAGAGGGCTCGAGAATTGAAGAACATATTTTTCTTAAACTTTCAGCTTGTTTACGGATCTTTATATTAGCCAAATTGCCAAATTTGATAATAACTTATTAACCAATTTGATAATTTACGTTCGGAGAGGGAGATTTAAAATAATAAATTTTAGTTATCGTTTATTTCAACCCAAATTTTGCATTGCAATCGTATTATGTTTTGTTCATTATATTTCTTGAAATAAAAAATGTTGTTAAAAAAAGTTGATCACATTGTATAGAATTTTTTTCTCACTATCCAAATTTTGCCGCTCCCCAAAATTTGCCGCCCTGGGCAGTAGCCCCGATTGCCCCTACTGTAAATCCAGCACTGCCTAAAACTAATCAGAATCATTCTCAACTAATTCTACCGTCAAAATAATAATAATAAAAACACGTTTTTTTAAATTACAAAGAAACGGCTCGGCAGATCGTCGCACAAAACTAACAAACGATAGTCCTCATTGAAATACATCAAATATCTTTTAAATTTCTGAAATCGGTTAAGACGTTTTTGAGAAAACGTCCATTAAAGGTCTAATTTGAACAAATGCCAAAAAAACGATACTAGTTTTTGCAAACTTTGACACACCCACACACAACACATACTTTATCCAAATTTGGTCTCAATCGATTCAGAATGGCTTGAAACGCCGAGAAAACAAAATTAGCGAATCGGATTTTTTTAAGCTTCTCCTCCGGGAAGTTAAAAATATAGTAATAATAAACTAAAGTTGTAATAATTTTTAACTATTAAAGCATAAGTCTGTATTGACTAAATGCAACTTTAGTCATTAATTAGTTCTCATTTTGGTGTCAATTAAATTTTAGTCAAATTTTGCTGGCCATTTCGTGGCATACTAATTATTAACAATGTATAAGATAATATAATATTTAATATTGCTGGTACATATGCGGGTCATGGGTCGAGTCGTATCCAACTGACCACAAAATTTAATTAGAATAACACATCCATGTATGGCATATATCCTATTTTAACAATGACAACTTATTACTCTTAAAGTATTAATTTATTTGTGATTGATTTGTAAATTTCTTTCCCTAGGGTCCGGTCCAATACAATTATGGCAGTTTTTACTAGAACTTTTAATGGACAAGAATTGCCAGCCTTTCATTTCTTGGACAGGCGATGGCTGGGAATTCAAATTAACAGATCCTGATGAAGTGGCAAGGAGATGGGGCGTGAGAAAAAATAAACCGAAAATGAACTATGAAAAATTATCTAGAGGTTTACGTTACTATTACGATAAGAATATAATTCACAAAACGGCTGGGAAGAGATATGTATATCGATTTGTTTGTGATCTACAGAATTATTTGGGGTAAGTGGATTGAAATCTAAAGAAAACTTAAATTACCTTATGTTAATTTATGCAACTTGTCATATATTAGGTTGTCAAATATCTCCCTTCCGCTTTTTTGCTCTTGGTTTATAATACAAAAGGCGGAAGGGAGATATTTGACAACCTTATATGTTGTCCTGTTTAATTTTTTTTACATTTGAGTTGATTCATAATATAAGGGTATGGGCAATACGGAATCAGCCCCACCATCATTAAAAAAAAATGATATACCAATTTTCAACTTCATACCTCATCTTATGGCCGAGATCTCATTGAAAATATGCCAAAGTGGTCCCTTCTTTCAAACTAACTTTTTGACGTAACCATAAAAGATATCGAAAAAAAATTAACGTGATTATACTCATATTTGCTTAAACCACATTATATAGAACAATCGATGCCAAATAATCATTTATTATTAGCTGAAAAAGATAAAGTACTTGAATTAGAAAGAAAATACTCGATGTCCTTAAGTGCTTCTAAAAATATTATCATTTTATTGACCTATAATCCACTACTAAATTTTTATTACTCGTTTACTTATACTATTTTTGTAGAATTAGACCAAAGCTAGTAAATTGATATATGAAATTCACATAAAATGTTACTAAATTTTTAAAACGGAATCAATTAAAAAATGTCATTTTTGATCAATGAAAATTTGGAAATTTATAAGGGGGTATTCTAGTCGAGAGACATATATTATATGTTATTTTTGAAAGGCCTTAATAAACGCAAAAAATAATTTTACTGTTCATTTTTTTAAGCATTATCAGTTTATGTTATAAAAATATAGAAAAAAATGATATTTAAAAACAGCCAAAAAGATATATTTCTAGCTGGTGACCATACCCCTGATTTTAGTCTTCCAAATAATCTGATGAAAAAATAAAGATTATTAATCATTCATAATAAAATTTGTACTCGAATTATAAAGACAATACTCGATGTCCGCTAATAAATTGATATATGAAATTGTCAAATAAAAAATGTGATTTTTGATCTATTAAAATTATTGAAAATTTGGAATTTATAAGGGGATATATTCAAGTCTAGAGACATAAATTTTATTAGTCCAGTCATTATAGTAATTTCACCTAGGAATTCGAGATACCCAGCTGTAAGTCTGTAAATACTTGTATTTTGCACCCTAAAAGTTGTCTCAAAGCCTACATATGTTGCGTACACCCTACCATATGTAGGTTTTGAGACAACTTTAGGATGTCAATATACAAGTATTTACAGACTTACAGTTGGGTATCTCGAACTCCGAGATTTTTACCTAATTTAAGCTTACATGACTGGGCTATATATTATTTTTGAAAGACCTTAATAAAGACAAATAATATTTTTACTATACATTCTTTATAAAGTTATTAATTCACGTTATAAAAATATATAAAAAAATGAAATTTAAAAACAGCCAAAGAGATTTATTTCTAGCTGTCGATAAAATGAGGATCCCAAAAAATTGTCACGCGAACACACCCCTGATTTTAGTCTTCCAGGTTAAAAAAAATCACGAATATAGGGAAAAAAATCTTTCATGATATTCTCGAATTTTTAAAAAATTGTAAAAATCGAAATTTAAAGATGAGCGTAGTTTATCGGAAGATAAGTCTATGAAGAAGATTCCCTAAAAATTACAAGTAAATCGGTTCAGTAGAAATTGAGAAATTGTGGGTATCATTCGAAAAATACATTTTCAAGAAAAATGCGTTTGAAGTTTTGCAGAGCAAATAAACGCAGGAAGATTATTGTGATCAAACAGCTATATCTCCAAATCTATTTAATTTTTTTTAAAAAACCTTTTATACACATATTTTTGAATAGTTAAACTTTGAACATATTGTAAAAAAATTGAATTCTTAAAACTTCTATACTAGAATATCCCATAAAAACAATTTAATGTAGTCAAATAATTGTAATTAAAATAAAACGAGACAATATATGTATAAATGGAATAATTAAAATTTATGAAAATAAATCAAAATTTAGATTAATATAAGAAATATTTTTTTCTTATATAAATACAATTATATGGATTTGCATATCATATATAAATATATTTAGAAAATATAATTTAAATATTTTGTTCATATTTTAGATTAGAATTCTAAATATACTTTTGAGAACATTCATATATCCAAAATTTATTAAAATTATTCAAACAATTGGCTTGAAACACTTTAGTCTCATATAGGTAATAAAGATTATAGCTTTTAATTATGACTGTTACAAAAACAAATAAATGAATGTTATAATAATTTAATTATAAATATTTTCTTCTGAACATCAACAATATTTCGTAATAGAGCTCACAATATCCATAGACGAATAATACAACCAATTTTGATAATAATAAATTAATAATTAAATTTTGATTGAATATTTAATTATCAATTTATTATTATTCATTAAATCTAGCCAGTAGTATTATAAAAACTATTTACTTTTTTATTGAAATTGAATCATAATTTATATTTATTTTTTAAACATCAGAAGCAAATTTATGATAATTCAATTTTTGCTGATGATAAGTCGATAACAAAATGCAACAAATAATCTCTAAACCTTAAGTTATTGCAAACATGATTTTTGTTTACTGAAATATATTTCGCATATTTTTGTAGTAATTTTGTAAAAATGAATTAAATTATTATTAATGTTATCAATCCTTTTTGTTCTTAGATATTCTCCAGAAGAACTCCATGCTAAGTACGATCTGAAGCCAGTGAAAAAGGAAGATGAGTGATTTTTGTATGACCCAATATAATAAGTGATTGTTATGATTTTGGACATAATGAAAATATTTAAATATAAATGAATTCTAGAAATTTATCAAAGACAATATTAAAATTGTTATTAATAAAGCAAATGTTCTGAAAGTGATTAATATTAAAATAGCCGATTATTATAAAATCTTTAAAAAAATATTAAAAAATATTATATTTATATATAAATAAGAGAAATATATTTCTAATAACAATCACTTTTAGTACATTTGCTTTTTTGTGTGATCTATAATGATTAATTATTATTTTTAAGATTTTTTTATAGAAATGGAATCTCATCGCAATGTTTTGTCTGTTTCATTTCCCACCGTTAAGTTTTATGTAAATCAACAACAATATTGTTCATAAAAATAATGACTATACAGTTTAACTTTTATTCATTATTTTCATTTTAAATCAACTTCTTTAATCTTCAAATTGTTTATACTTTTATATTATATAATGTTATTTAGAAGTGATCTCATTATATGGACAAAATTATCAAAATGCAAAATTATATTCATTTAATTATTAATCACATTTCAATGTTATAATATTAGGTTTTTTCCACTAAATTGTAATATATAAAAAAAGTATTAGATAATAATTCGTGCCTTCAAAGATAAAATAAAATATATTTTTACAAATACACATGCTGTACAATTATATATACAATTATATTTGTACGATTTGAATATTATATTTAAAAAATATTATTTAGGTATATGTGTACATTTTATTTATAAATAAATAATAATTTTATACATTTGTATAATATATAAGCTAAAAAGTTAACAATTAAGTTTTTAGCTAATAATTTTATAATAAAGCTTTTAATATATTAAATTCAGTATATTGATATTTTATTTAATACATACCAATAAAGTAGATCAGCTACTTAAAAGTAATAAAATTGTCTGCTTATAATCTTCTATATATATAAAAATAAGTCGGGTTTTCCTTCCTGACGAATTAACTCCAGAACGCACGAACCGATTTCGACAATTTTGCATTCGTTGGAAAGGTCCCGGGCTCCGCAAGGTTTATAGCTAAGAAAATTAGTTGTGCATGGCATCGTGCCTTAATGCAAGCTGCTGGAACTTCACGCACCGTAATTAAAAATTCGAGTAATAAATATAATCAATAACTGTTTTAAATAATTTCAAATAGAAAATCTTCTATATATATATATAAAAATAAGTCGGGTTTTTCTTCCTGACGAAATAACTCCAGAAAGCACGAACCGATTTCGACAATTTTACATTTGTTGGAAAGGTCTCGGGCTCCGCAAGGTTTATAGCTAAGAAAGTTAGTGGTGCATGGCATCGTGCCCTAATGCAAATTGCTGGAACTTTACGCACCGTAATTAAAAATTCGAGTAATAAAAATAATCAACAATTGTTTTAAATAATTTCAAATAGATTATCTTTTATATATATAAAAATAAGTCGGGTTTTCCTTCCTGACGAAATAACTTCAGAATGCACGAAACGATTTTGACAATTTTGCATTCGTTGGAAAGGTCTCGGGCTCCGCAAGGTTTATAGCTAAGAAAATTAGTGGTGCGTGGCATCGTGCCCTAATGCAAATTGCTGGAACTTTACGCACCGTAATTAAAAATTCGAGTAATGACATTAGTGAGAATTATCAGAATTAAGCTTGGTTAAGTCAACGAGCAATACTTGACGCAAGGAGTAATGATGTACACGCACTGAATTTCACCATTCAATCAAAAATTGCTGGCGATTTGGTGACATACCAATGATTCCGACTGGTCTTCCGTTTGACTTCAAACGATTGCAATTTCCAGTTCGCAATAACAAGTCTCAAAGACAATCGCTTAGTGTTTGCGAGATAAATTTCAAATAGATTATTTAGAAAATCATTGTTTTTTCACATGGGCAGTTATACGTTGCCTGTGCACGAGTTGAAAACCATCCGCTTTGTTTGTGTTAACGTCAGACCAAAAAAACAAAAAATGTTGTTTACCAAAGAGCACTACAATGAAACGGATAATTTGCGGATTCACTTTCATTTACTTAGAGAAGTTCAACTAAAAAACACTTCATTTTTGTAATAGATATAAATTCATTACTGTTGTAAATTTCTTCATCTTTCTCACGAAACCATCTGGTGGCGAAACGGAGTTTGTCGGGTTTGCTAGTATTTTATATTAAATATAACATAACTACGAAAAATATCATATGTAATGCATTGATGGTAAAGAGGCCTAAATTGGATTTTTGGGTTTAATGTGAATGTGTAACTGTAATAATTTTTTGGTAGTTTTAAAAAACTGAATTGTTAAGAAAATTTTATATAAATTATTGACTATACTACTTGTAAAAATAGAAGATATTACCTACATTTCAAAGCCATTAGATGTATCTCGATGAGGACAAAAATATGATGTCAAAATTTGGATTACATTGTAATTATTACTTAAGTCGCTTTTGTGATGTGAACAGTCAATCAAGTCAATTATAAATGGTTTTAGAATTAGCAAAAAACTAAATGAACAGAAAAATGTCTACAAAACTTCTCTGGTGTTGTAAAAAATGTTACTATTGTTTAACTATTGACTACGTATATGACATTTGTAATCATACCAGTATTTTCTTATAGCAGATGCCTAATATTTCACAAAATATTTTATTAAATTACAAAAAATGTTTCGACGTGAAATTTAAAATTGCGATAAAGGATAAGGAGCTTCAATTTTAGGACACACAAACACGTGCTTGTGCAATATAATTAAAATAATTACAAATACATAATATAAATGTGTTTGCATGCAGGAAAGATATAAATTGGAAATCGCAATGTTTTGACTTAGTTAAAAGCGGAAGCATTATTTTCGAAATAAACAGTAGAAAACTTTATCCAAATCTCAATTTTGGTTGATTAAGTCAGTTATTACACCAATCGGAAAGTTCTTGCAACTTGCCATAAGGCAAAATGCCACTTTCAACTAATTTACTTTTAAAACAATGGGTCCAAAAGAAGGGCAATGTCTCTTGAAATAAATCGTGAAATTATTGAAAAATATTAGGATGGTGAGGATGTACGAGCATAATACACCATAGATTTATACTGTGTTTAAACAGAAGGAGTGGATAGAGGGTATGACTCCAGTTATACCTCTTATAATAATTTATAAACAGCTTTCTGACTCTAAAAGTTCGTGGATAAACATAATCATCTCGAAAAAGTTGCAAAAGTTTTAGCATGAAAAATGCTCATCAAAACATGTTTTAATTCATTTACGCATTATCATGAATGGACAGGAAAAATAATCATTAAATTTAAAAATAGTGAATATATTTTTACAATTAATAAAAAACACTCTGCTGGCACGAATTAATGACATTTCAATGTATTTTACGGAAAAAGTTGCTTCGAGATACGAGATACGTGCGTGGTTACGGAACGAATTGAACTCCTATGTAGGGGCACCAGTCTATTTTGAAAATGTTTTGAAAACTAATCGAGTTTCCCCAAAATTACTTTTAAATTCTTGAAATTGGATCAATTATTTCTGCAAACACGTCGACGAGTTGCAAATAATAACGATTAGAACTAGTGGTGAATGGCATCGTGCCTTAACTTACGATTTAGATTCGCAAATGTTGGGCCAAAGTTGTACAAGCAGGCGTAGCGTTTGTGACTATTTTCTCACAGTGTACAGTTTATCACAAAAATAAAAATAATTTTGTATTTTATAGTTTCGTACAAATAAATATTTTGCAATACACACTTGCGATTGTCGTACCGAATGAATGCATAATACTTGCTTCTGGCCCGATTATCGTATGAGGGCTATGCCCGTAATATTTACGTTTGGTCTAGCCATCGCACGCGGGCTCTGCTCGTCATTGTAGTTAAGGGGTTAAGGCAAATTGCTGGAACTTACCGTACCAAAAATTGAAGTTTTTGAAAAAAATTCATTTTTTTAAACTTAAACTGTTCATACTCTTAACAGTCCTACGAAAATTGTTTGAATTATATAAAGTTAATTAAAATATAAAATAAGGAGCTTAAATTTTAGGACAGACAAATACGTGCTTGTGCAATATAATTAATATGATTACAAATAATATAAATGTGTATAAAAATAGATTTTGTGAGATTTATAAAAATTTTGGAATACAAAAATTTTACCTTTACCTTTACCTTAAAACATTACCTTATAAAAAATAAAATAAAAAAATTATACTTTGAAATATTTTGAAAATTTCGTACTTTTTCTTCAAAGCAATCGCTATACGTTAGCTGCGTAGAAACAAACTATAGAAGAGCGTGGGCGCCGCGTTGCAGTATAACGGATAAACATTGGTACGGAACCCTATGTAAACAAAATTTATTCTTATTATTGAAATTAATATAAAATATGTGATAATTTGATGTTCATATGTTTAATGTTCATTTTTATCCCTTAAATGGCATTTTTATTACTTTTTTTTATTGAATCTCCAAAACCGCTGGGCCTGCCTTTTCACTGCAGTTGTTTATTTCATCAATACAAGTAAAATGTTTTTTGAATTATTTAAATCGGGCGTTCCGTTATCTCAAAAACTGAAATACCATTTTTGGCACTTTTTGCACCGTATCTTCGAAACGGTTTATCAATAGAAAACGATAGAAAACGTTTCCTTATCAATAGGAATTGTATGTTTTTGGAATCATCCAAATCGGTTAATCCGTGTTCTCG